AAGACTCTATGGAGCATCAAACATTTTGAGTTTTTGGACGTTTGTTCTGAGTAAAGAGGTATTCTTCTCTGAGACCCCTGGTGGTCTGTGACTTTGCCCACCAGCTATGTACAGTCTGAAAAGGATGCACGGCTACTTACAAACTATTTATACATGTGGACGTTTGCTTTCTGTCTTTTCCAATACAAAAGAAAGAAAGAACAGAAAAGGTGTTTTTATGATTTCGGAGACATGCAAGAGTCCTGTGTGGTCCGGTTCTGTGTAACCATCAGTATCACGATCTCAATGTCATTTTTTTAGTCATTGTTATTCTTGTCATCCATGTTTCTTATTATATTACAGTATATCTGAATGATGTCAAGTCTTGTAAATGGTTTGGATATATGTGTGCAAGGAGGAGATGTGAGAGTCAGTACAGGAAGATGCTTTATTTTTGTTATGAAATATATTATGCTTACTTATATCCAAGCAGGAATTATGTTTAATTCTTTTGTTGTGGTTGAATGCCTGTATTTAATCCAGTGGAAAAGATGCAAAAACGTGGCCAGGGGGTGGAATCGGCGAGGGGAAAAAAAGCTGCAGTGTGTGTGCATCAGAGCTGTGAAAAGGTGGGACAGACTGGCTCAAACATGGCAACTTCATATTGACTGGCTATACTGTCGCTTATTCTACAGCCATGATAAGCACTGCCGAATCCTTTACGTAAGAAGTGATGTTTCACACAAACGCATATTAGCATATTAGAGTGTGTGCATGCCAATCACATAAGCACACAAAAATGCTAGAGCAACTCTAGTGTGCAAGCACGCATGTGCGAGGCGGGATAGACAGGGACGTGTGTGTGCGCGCGTGTGCTCACACACACGATTTCTCTGCTACATGATGCTATTTTTCATCCATATCACTGTAACATTGATAAGGAAGATGTCCGCCCCGTCTACTTCACAAACACACACGCTGTGCCTGCAAAGAGCAAAGTCCACCTCAAAGAGTGAATGAGCGAGCAAAGCAAATCGACAAGTGCATGAATGGGCTCCTTGTTTAGCCATGTCTTTACTCCTCCGTTGACAGGAGAACAAATCTCTGATCGCTCCACCTTTTTGAAGGGGACTCACACCTCATACAGCCACATACCATCAGGACAGATGATGGTGGGTGCTCAGAGGTGGCCTGAAAACCTGTGCCCCCGATGAAACAAACAGTTACTTCCTTACCAGTTCCTGTAACAGTGATGAATGTGTAACCAGGCCAACATGGTGCAAAAACAACACTCGTCTTCCACCCTGTGTTCAAAAGAGGAAGTTTGAAAGGAGATTTTTTTGAACGGTCAAAGGCGAAAGAGTGAGTCACTGTGAGGCGAGTCGAGTGAGAGTCGAGAGAAAGGCTTGACTGAAACATGGCTTTATCAGCTGCTGCTGAGCTGTGAACATCAGACCTTACGCACACACACACACATACATACACACGCACACACACACACACATACATACACACGCACACACACACACACACACACACACACACACACACACAGTCCACCTGTGAATTAACTAACCATCAGTTAACTGGTGCTATATTTATAAGGCTGATGTTTCATCACTGTTCACATTCACAATAACATCACTGTAAGATAGTGCTCTCAGTGAACCAGGGACCACGCTTAAAGACAATGCCATTACACTATCACTAAGCCTTTACTACTTCTCTTTTGGGCTTCCATTGGATAAATACAGCAATAATCATAATTTATATATTTATGTTTTCAACAATAAATATATTTCTGCTTATGAAATTGTTCACTGGATGTTGAGTCCTATAATTTGTTTATGTTGTGTTTCAAGGATGCTATCTAAGAATACATTTAGGTACGGATGATATACAGTGCTAAAGACTTAGACTAATGGGGAAGAAATGAGATTATGGAAAGCAAAAATGATGCACATGAGAAATATGAAGCTAAACAGAGTAGCAGAGGAAAGAGGATAAGAACCCTAGAGGTTTGAGGGACCACCCTGTATCAGAAAAAAAATACCTCCTTCACTAGGAACAGAATTTCTAGCAAGTTTAGCCTAAATAAGTGTATATTATGCAAAATGCAGAACATACATATATTATCTTAAGTGATCTATAGTGAGCTTAAAAGGGTGGAGTCCATGTGTTGGTGCTGCTGCAGGAGGCAAAACAGAAGCTGGATGTGAGGGTGGTGATGTATACAGGAAATGTGAGCTTTTCCAGGCTTGCAGGTTGAGCAAGAGCTTGGCTTTATTCCAGGATCCACCGACAGCTAGACGGTAGGTGCTGGGGGCTTTATTACTTTTCCCCGAGCAGCTCACCCTAATCCTAGGGCTAAGGGACATGAAAGTCCCTCTCCTCCACACTCCCCGGCCATACACCCAGCTTATTACCTTAGGAGGGAGCCAGATAAAGAAAGGCAAAACATGAAAGAGAGAAAGGATCAGAGAGACAGCAGCTCTGCAAGCCAGTGGACCAGGGGATAAAGTGAATCAAGTAAAGATAAAAGGAAGAGAAGAAGGCTTGATTGATTTTATTGTTTTTATCTGACATGCACTGCTTCATTCATAAAAGTGAGGATTGAGGAGTCAGTATAGCGTGTGCAGTGTATTCACCATGCAGGAAAAAGAGAGCAATGTGTCATGGTGGGGAAAGATGAAGTAGGAGGATGGAGAGAGGGAGAGAGGGATGAGAATACCCTGAGGAGTAAGAGTGCAAGGAGGTGTATAGAGAGGGACAAATGTATAGAAAGAAGGAAGAATGGGGGATAGAAACGAATAAGAATAGGATATGGAAAGAAAGAATAAGAAGTGGACTCAGGATGTGGGTAATCGGCACCACAGCAAGTGGGAGCAGACAGGGCAGCACTAAGTGGACATGCTTTCATAAACAATGCCAGAGGGGGATGAGGGGGAAGACAAGGTGTGAAGAGGGCTGCTGAATGGGCTGTGTGTGTGTGTGTGTGTGTGTGTGTGTGTGTGTGTGTGTGTGTGTGTGTGTGTGTGTGTGTGTGTGTGTGTGTGTGTGTGTGTGTGTGTGTGTGTGTGTAAGTGTGTAAATGCGTGTGAGTGTGTGAGCAGCTGAACAATATGAAGGAGGTCTCCCGGTGTGAAACATGGACCACTGGAATTTTGGGCTCTTGCAGAGGGCAAACTGTGATTTGACTACCTACAATGTGCAGGGTCAGAGTTCAGGGTTCAGGGGTCATAGGGGGATGTTGCTGGTGGTGCAAAGTGGCGGATGCATTGTAAAGCTTTAATCATCCCCTGGCATTTCCAGTGTAAATAAATTTTCAAATTTCAAATTTTTTTGGTACATTATATGTTTATTGGATATAAAACTTACACAACCTGATCTAATCGACAGAAGCTGTTCGTTCACAGCCTCGAATCCCTCAAAATCAGCCTTGACTATTTCCTTCCCAGATTACAGATCTTGTAACCTTTGCTTCATTACTTACACCCCTCTCTTCCCTCCCCCTTTCCTCTTTCCCTCCATGTTGCCCTGTTATGTTTCTCCTCTCTGCCCCAACCTGTGGCTTCTGGGTTTTGAGGAAAGGCAGAGGTGGCCTTTGAAGATGGCGACAGCCAAGTTTGTCTGGGGCCAAAGCCATGAATGCATGTCTTTGTCCATGTCTCTCTCACGTCTTCGTATCCTGCCCCCGCTACACCCCTCATCCTCCCTCTGCACCCCCCACCCCCCACCCCTCCCCACAAACTCACACGGACACGCTCATGCCCTCGCTGGGGCCCCCATTGTACAAATGACTCTGCTAATTATGTATTTAAGGTATTTGGCTCCTGTGAAAACAGCTTTGGGTTAGTGGTGGAAGGTGGTAGGGGTGGTTGGGGAGAGGAGGCTGTGTAGGGACATGGGGTGGTCCATGGTCTCATGGCTATCATTACTGCCCTACGTTTTATGTAAACACTGGATTAGAACAGCAAGGGCTGATTGAGGAGAGGGGTGGTGGAGGTGGTGGTGGTGTTTGGCACAGGGGTAGGTAAGCAGGTCGCCTGTGCTTCTGAGTTTTGGTCTCTGGTTTCACCCCTGGGTGGCAGTCCCTCAGAAACCTTTCTCTCCCGTACACACACATATCACCTCACACAGGTAATGGTTTATTAGTAACACGTGATAGATGACACAGCACATAAATACTCACTAATCGTATCTCTTTTTGGTATTCCTTTCTCTTAAAAAAGTCAACTTTCTCATCAAAAGGTCAACTGATAACAAAAAAGCAAAGCAGTGCTGGATCTGCAGGTTTAGTTTTGTTAGCTGTTGTGAATGAATGTTTGTGGCAAAGAGGATCAATATTGTCGGAGAAGACTGTAGGTTACTTAATCACAATGTCTGCTAACGATATACCACAGTGACAAGTGAATGGTTGAGGGGCTGTCTTGCGATGTGTTCGCTTGCAGTGGGTCTTCACCATAAGACCTCCTTCATTCCCAATTGCCATCCGTCCTTTCTCCCACTATCCTCTCACCTTTCTTCTCCCTCTTTGTTAAAATGCTTTGTCACAGTCCCATCACCTGTCATGTGTCTGGGCCACAGCAAAGGATGGGGCCATCCTGTTGTGAGTGGCCCCAAATGGACATCTCTGAAACCGGATCACTGCGCTCTGGATCCTGCAGGGGAGGGGGCTGACTGATGATGCTGATAAACCTGAGATGGACAGCAGCCTGCTTGGCCCCTCAGTGAGAGCCCTGTCACAGTGGCAGTATTCTCCATTTATGTGTATGCAAACCTGCATTATATATTATGTTCTTCTCACTTCAGCTCATCAAGGATATTCAGTTTGGAGTTCTGCAAAAGACGAACAATCACATTCTTCCATGTGGCAAACCATATTCAG